GCAGTACAGGTAGATCTACTTATGTACACTGCTTGAGGGGAGCAGCATTGAGACAGGCAAGGTCTGCTGAGCCATGAGGGTCACCTCCCTGGCCATGGATCAACTGGTGCTTTGTGACTGGTGGCTGTAGAAAGCTTCATAGTGCTGAGCCTTATCCCCTTACACCACCAGGGAGGCCCCTTAAGGTTTCCTTTTAGATTCACAGCAAAACTGAGAGGAAGGTACTCTCCTCGATTACTCAGACATAGGCTACTCCCATTATCAACCTCCCCCATGAATGGAGCATTTGTTATAACTGATTAACCTACACTGGCAAAACATAATCACTCAAAGTCTAGCTTTTAATTAATGTTTTCCTGGATTATTTCGTATACTCTGTTTCAAGGAGTAATTCACTTCTGTGTGCTGAGGTCATTGACATCATTTATCAATCCTAGCAGCTGTACAATTGCAGAACTGTACCCAAACTTCTTGAGAAGTTTATAGAAAAACAACTTTGCTCCCTCCAGGTGTAACTTACTCCAGCAAGAATTTTGGCAATAAATAAATGACTCAATAGCTCAGCACCACTACCACACAAATATTCCTGCTTTTCTTAAGCAATATTATGCTTCTTTTCTAATTGTTTTCTCCTCAGAGTTAAATAAGTAAAGAAAGGTATCACAGCTGCCATTATTTCTTCCCCCCAAGCCACCTTTTGGATTAGAAAATAAATCTGTTCATAAGAAGCACTCTTACAACCTATGCTATTATAAATAATGTATTTATTCAGGTAAAACAGGTTCATTTTTAAAAAGTCCTGCGGATATTTACACTGATATATCATTAGAGTTGCTTTACTTTACTATCAATTTCATCTACAAAATGTTTTCCAGAAATTCCAAAAATGCTGCCTTAAGATTATAATTCTTACTGAATCTCAGTACTCTCTACTATTTTGATTTTTAAAATCTTCTAACAAAGACAAAATGGTGAAAAGATAAGGGCATATGGATGGGCAACTCTGCTCTGTCACTTTCCCATTATTTATTTCATGCAATTATCTTATTACATGTTTCCATTTTCAAGTTGTGACTTCTATGCTCTTTTCCTGTCCTTGATTATATGGGAATAGGGTCCTTTTAATTTTGTTATTAGCAGTCTAGATGATTTCAAAAACTGTCAAAATTTTTGATATTAATATAAACTTTGAATATGGTCTGTCACTTTGGAATATAGAATTTTCCCCGTCCATTTCATGAAATTTGGTTAGAGAATTTTGTCTTAACCTTGTGTTAGTTAAGAGAGTTTTGAATGTGTATAATCTAAACCCCTACCAGTATCAATGTAAGCAGTAAGTATAGTATGTTACATGAAGGAAGTCTGGAGATAGGTGGTTTAGGTCTAGTAAATTTAGGGCCAAAACTATGTCACCTATACTCAGGAGCTTCCCTATATTTCCATCCTGCCGTCCATAAAATGTTAACTTTATTTCTAAAGTTTGCCTCACATTTGGTACTTTTTCAAGCATGTGGTAAGGAAATTCTTCCTTACATGTCTTTATGTCACCAAGGAAAAAAATTCATGAAATATACAGAAAGCAAAGACTTCTACTTCTGTCTAAAGTTTATATACAGAACTGGAGTACAGGCCAGAGGTGTGAGGGATGAGAGGATTCACCAGAGACAGAGTGGGGAGCAGAATAGGCAGATTGACAAAGTGCACTGCTGAGGAGAGTTCAGGAGAGGTCTGCCATGCCCTTTGGGTTACCTTCCTAGCAGGGGATTGAACTCATGCTGCAGTGGCTGTGATAGCTTCATAGTGCTATGCTTTAACCCATTGCACCACCAGGGAGGACCCAAAATGCATCTTTTGAATTCCTAAAACTTAAAGTGATGGTACTGGAATGTGAGACCTTTAGGATTAGGTCATAGAGACAGTCCTTTGAATGATGTTTGTGCCATTATATTTGAGGCTGCAGAGAAATTCATTGCCACCTTCAATTACATGAAGGTACAGTGAGAAGTACACAGCTCTGAATCCCACATGTTGTCACATTGATCTTGGATTTCCATCTTCCAGAAATATGAGCTGTTTCTAAGCCAGTTAGTATATAATATGTATTTCCACAGTACCTGGTAATAATGTATTTTTTTTGATGAAACAACAAAAACATGAAGATATTTAAGTTAGGTTAAGTTCACCCTGATATTTTGTTCTGTTTTTCCAGTGTGTTGATAGGAGCAGAAGTATAACCTCAATGATAGATTGTCTAGCTCTCCCTTTTTGTTCTTTTGGAGCTTAACCTAGATTTACCCCTTTTGCAGTCTCTCCAGAACTGCTCCTATCACCATCACTAGTATGTTTATATTGATAAATGTTAAAGAAATTTAAGTTGTGTTTGATATTTTCACAGCTTGCACGGTGGAGTACATTTGGAACCCTTGAAGACACATCTCAGACGGAATCAGAAGCAAGGAAATACTCAGTCGTTGCAGTAGAGGATTGTGAAATTCTTAGAATTTCTGCAAAGAATATTGCCAAGTTAAAATTGGTAAACCATATCTAGTCTATATATTAATACAAGTATGAATTCAAGCTATGCTTTGCCTCCCTAGACAGTATATGTCCATATCTTTTTTTTTTAAAGAATTATTTATTTATGCATATAGAACTGGGGTATAGGCCAGAAGTGTAGGTGCAGTGAGAGGATCCACCAGAGATAGAGAAGGGAACAGAACAGGAAGCTCGATGAAATACATTGCTGAGGGGAGCAGCAGGCAAGATTGGAGAGGTCATGTGGGTCACCTCTGGGGGCGGAGATCGAACTCTCACTGAAGTGGCTGCAGCTAGCTTGTGCCACCAGGGAGGGACATCTGTTGGTTTTTAAGTTTACATAACTGGGGTACCAAAAAATGTGGCTAATGTGGTAAACATCACATAAGACTTTGATGGTGATAGATGTTGAAATAGAAAGACAGGTCTCTATGGATGTATTTTATGTAAATTTTTGAGTGCTTTTGCTTTTTCCTATAAATTTAAAATCCATTCATTTATACACCAAATATATGTTTTAGATGCTAACAGGATGTCATGTGTTAAAGATACCAGAGTGATGAGGCAGACTTAGCTCTACAGTCTACCTAAGGAAAAAAGATAGTTGGGAGTTATTGGCATGATATTTCATAGTTACTTTTTTAAAGACTTTTTTATTTATACATACTAGACTAAGGTACAGGCCAGAGAGATGTCACCAGAAAGACTAGGAAGCAGAATCAGCAGGTCTACTAAAATATACTGCTGAGGGGAGCAGTGAGAGAGACAGGAGAGGTCTGCTGTGCCGTGTGGAACAATTCCCTGACAGGGTTTGGAACTCATGCTGCAGTGGCTGTGGATTGCTTCATAGTGCTGTGCTTACCCCATTGCGCCCCCAGCGAGGGCCCTACTTCATAGTTATAAGAGAAATCACAACCCAGAACTGCATGAATGGCAGTTGATCACAATATAATTTTGATCTCAAATTTCTGCTTTCAAGTTTATTTTATTGCTTTCAAGTTTAACAATTTCTTTTGCTTTAATCAAATCCAAATTTTCCCCCTTCTCCCTTTTCTCTTCCTTTGGATGTCAGCAAAGTGTGTACAAATGACAGATTTGGAAGATTCTCATGTCCCTGTGGTGTCAGCCCCTTTTGGTAGGAGCTAGCCCTGGCACAGGTGCTACAGGGCTGTGGCATGGACGGATGCCCCTTGTTGAAGGTTAGGTGATGGCCTTTATGTTGGAGGGAGATAAGGAGATGTCTTAATTGAGGTTTTTTAGTAGTTGGGCTTACTTTTGATACAGGGATCTCAGTGACATTAGAGTAAATGATTTTTTTGCAGACTTCAACCTAATACAAATTCCTGGTCTTACTTAGCAAGATTGTCTTAAAAATTATCTTGTCCTCCCCAGCGGTGCAAAGGGTTAGGACGCAGCACTGCAAGCTAGCCACAGCCGTCTCAGTGCGAGTTGGATCCCTGCCCTAGGGCTGACCCACATGGCGTGGCAGACCTCTCCTGACCCACCCACTGCTCCCCTCAGCAGTGTACTTCGTCAGCCGCCTGTTCTGTTCCCTACTGTGTCTCGTGAATCCTATCATCACCCCTACACCTCTGGCTTGTACCCCAGTTCTGTACGTATAAATAAATAATTCTTAAAAAAACGACACGCTATATAAAAAAATTGTTTTGTGTATTTTGTCATAGTTTCAAAGTCTCAGTGTCACATATTTGAAATTATCCAATCAAATCGGATTTAGTATTGATTATGACAGATTTTTAAAAATGCTGAAAGCTTTAAATTTTCATGAAGATGGGAGATATATGAACAGCATATTTTTAGACTAAAATTTCAAAGAACTACATGGTAACAGAACGATGTCCCTATAAATTCAAGTGTATTCCATACCAATTTGTATTAATGTAACCTTTTATAATTTCTCTTTTTTCTTGATGTTTATCTACTTGTTATCCTTCTCCCTTCTTTTTAATTTGCCTAGTAAAAAAAGTGAAAACTTTTTTCAGGAAAAGGAAAAACTTGAGAATAAAGAAAAAGTCAAATTAATTCGTAGCTGTCCGTATTATGAGGAGTGGCCCACTTTGTCCATATATGAGCTAATTGCCCTGATTAAATGGAAAAAATTTCCTCCAGGTCATGGTGAGTTTAATTCATCTGTATCATTTTATTTACAAAACCATTACATTTTTATAGTTTTAAATAATTTTATATAAGTTTTATTTATTTATTTACTTAATGTTACCTACTAATTGGGCCTTTAATTTAAAGTATTGCCTTTTTCATTAAAAATCATTCTGTATTGTCTTGAAGAGTAAGCTCAAAACTGGCCTTATTTCCATATTGCTTTATACTGTCCCACAGTTCTAGCCATCTTACTCCTCCCTCAGTCAGTGAAAGGGCCAAACTGAAAAGGAAAAATGCAGTGAGAGATTAGTTAATTTTTTCTAGTTCTCCTGGTTGAAATCTATTTAAGCATTACATTTACATATCTGCACCTGTTGTATACATTATCAGTGGAAAATATATTTATAGAGAATTAGTGAGGTTGAAATAGAGGTAGCAGCAGTAAAGCTGCTTGCATTTCCACAATTCAGCAATGATTCATGATTTCCTGGGTAATTATATTAATACAAAAAGTGTAGATGTATGCATCACCTTATAATTTGTTCTGTCTAAGAGAACCCACTAAGAAAGATATGTCAACTTCTATGGGTTAAAAGTTTGTGTTCCATAAAGTTCCTATGTTGAAGCCCAACCCCAACCTTGATGTTTTTTAGGGTTTGCTGGGAGGTACTGACTCAGGAGAGTTGAGCTCTCATGAATAGATTTAGTGCCCTTATAAATACACATTAGTATAACCCAGGAAATCCAGGCATCATTGCTGAAATGTGCAAATGCTGAATTTTGGTAATGCAAGCAATAGAGACCTTTATCACTCTCCCAGTCAATTGGTGAAGGACACAGTTTGAAAAATAGTTCCACCTCAAATTTACAGGGCCATGCTTATAGTGAAGGGATGATACACAGAGGAGACCATGTCTGAATTAAGTTTGAAATTAAAGTTCTAAAATGAATGTGATTGTAAATTCCATAATGCAGCCATTCCAGTAATTTAAAAAAAATATTAGAGAAGTTATAGACTGTGGCTAGGATATCCTTTGAGTGAGTTATATAATAGGAAAATGAGGTTTGGCATAGCAACTTAGAGGGGGCTCTTTTATTAGAAAAAGTGTCATTAGAGATAAATTTATACTGAAAAATTGAGATCACCTAATAAGCCTTTAAAATTTTGTGATATTATAAACCTTTTCTAAATTTATTCCAAGTTTATTTCTAGTGCATATTTGTATGTTTTATTTATCATTTTTTGAAAAAATATTTAGCACATTTAGCCAAATATATATATATATTCTATTACTTATAAAAACTAAATGTTAGCCATGCTGCATTTTTTTCATGAACTTTTCTCCTCACGAGGCATAAATTTCGGTTTTGGGCCAAAAGTGTACCTAGAAGGTAAGTAATAAACTGACTTATAAAAATTTAGAAATTATTTCTAAATAAAGCATCTTTATTATGTAGAAACTTTATTAAAATTTACATGCTCTGGATTTATCCTGGGTTCCTCTTTTTGTATTAAAAATATCAAATCTGATTCATGACTCACATTCAGGTCTATTATGTATAAAAAACGGTATCTTAGCCTTGTCAACCTATCAGGACACTAATAATTTTGAGATGATTACAACATAGGAAAGACATCATAAAGTTATTTTCAAGTATGTGAGTCAAAAGAAGATAGAATATGGGAAAAGGGAGTAATTATGTGCTTTGAATGTATTTGTTACTAGTGATGAGTAATAAGTCCAGTCTAAAATATTTAAATTGAGAGACCCCATTGCTACATCACCCCCTTTGCCTGCTCCTACCAGTGTGTTGCTCACTTCTGCCCTCACGTTCACAGCCTTCACATTCCATATCGCTGCCACCTCCTTTGGGCCACTACCACCCAGTCTGTGCCAGCCCACAACCCTTGGTCTTCTAGAACTAGATTTTCATAGATAGAGAATGGCATAACATTTTCAGCAAGTAAACATTCCCTGTAGTCAGGCTGTCTCAGGGGAAGTCATCTGTCAGATTGCTGAAGGGGACTAAGAAGATATGGAAAGGGAAGTGAAAGCTACTGGAGTTGCTGTCCAGCTGGACTCACCCTGGCATCATATGGATACATCAGAGAGCTGTCTGCTGAACCAACTGGCTGATCTTATGGGCAGGACCTGGCAGCCCTTGATCCTGCAAAACTTCAAGTCCTACATCATCTCCTACATAGTGGATTTGGATCATGGCACTCAAATATCTCCAGAATTTTGCTGGCTGGGCAGATAAGTACCATGGGAAAATGGCCACTAGTGGAGACTTCTTCAGTTATAGCACCAGGGACCTGTAGAGGCATTTGGGAAGATCATTCCATGGAGCTTTTCCTACTCTTGAACCAGGCATGGAAAGTGGGTTCTTCTCTGGGAACTGGGTACGTGGCTGTGATAAGCTGGCTGAGGAGACTTCACTCACATCTACTTATGTGACCAACTTTGTTAAGGAGGCTGCCACACCCACCCCCAACTTGGTTGGTACTATACATGAATTTGGCCTCACAGCTGGGGCTGCCATCACCTCCCACAAGGATGTAAACAAAGGGTCTCATAGCTTGTGAGATTGGCCCCCTAATCCAGGTTGCTGCGTAACCTCAAAAGAGTGACCCTTGGAGCAGTAGTTAAAAAGCCCTGACATCATCATTCAATTGTTAGGCCAGAGTGTGATCCCACTTCTCCCAGTTTTTCCACCAATGCTCGTGCTGATATGCAGGTTCCTGAGTCAGCATATGTATCCAAACCATTTGTGGAGTTGAGCATCCCCCAGCGAGGTCTCGGTGGTTGCAAACCCCTTTGGCAGCTGGACTGAGCAGGAGCTACATTTGGGCACTACTCAGTTTGAAAAGGTCTTTGGCTATATCAAACCTAGGATGGAGGGGAGGCCAAGCTGCTATATGGTGAAGTAGCTGCCAATCATGGCTATGTCACCCAGCCCCTGTGTTTGGAGATGCACAGGATAATGTGGCCATCACAAAGGACATCTTTGGAAGCATGGTGCAGACCCTGAAGTTTAAGACTATTGAGGAAGTTGTAAGGAATGTCAACAATTCCAAGTACTGGCTGGCTGCATCTTTCTTCATGAAGGACTTGGCCAAGGCCAGTGTCTGTCCCTGGCCCTACAGGCTGGCACTGTGTGGGTCAACTGCTCTGAAATGCTTAGGGGGGCCAGTTACCATTTGATGGTACCAGATGTTGGAATGGAAGACTGGGAGAATATGTATGTCCTGCAGGTGTACACAGAAGTGAAAACCACCACCCTCACAGTTATTCAGAAGAACTCATGAAGATCTGCAGAGCTTCCCTACTCATCTAATGTCAAAAAAGACAAAGAGATCAGCAACAAAACTAAGAAAAATGATCCTTGCATGCTGAAATTCTCATAAGAGAAATTCTCTCTCAGAATAAGGAAAGCCCTGAATTTGATACATGAGAAAGATTATGGGGTAAAGAGAATATATGAAGCCTTTGAACAGCATCAATGATATTAGCGTTGGGTGATAGGAAGAAGGGGCCATTTCACAGATATATTTTAATGTCTCATCCTGTCTAGTTGACACACTATATAACTTTCCTTTAAGAGGAAAGAAAAGCTATTGTTTACAACTGTATTAACCAACCTCCAGGCAATAGCTATAGCCTTGCATTGTATTCTGGAATGAAACTCATTGAAAATGATGCTGCTCTTAAAAAATTAACATTCACAAGTTAGGAAAGTACATAGTCTTCTAGATTAATGCTGATTTCAAGTTCTTTATTGGGAAATTTTTTGAGTAATGATGGTAGTGACTATTGCATAGTCTGATTATATTGAATAAGTCGAAAGTAACTGTTTTTCGATGATTCTGAAACATATAAACATACAGTACTTATTTTTATACAGTTTTAAAAAATCATTTGTCCTCCTTAGAGAAGAGTGATGATTTTACTAGATGATCTTCAAGGCTCTTTTCAGGTCTGAAATACTGTGATTCTTATAAATAAACTTACTTAGTTGAAGAATAAGTCCTATTAACCAAATCTAGTTTCCTTTTATGGTAGTAACAAACTTGATATATCAAAGAGGAGGATTTGATATAATACTTCTTGACATTACATAAGATTTATTTTAAATTTTTTATTAGAAGATGTAAAAAATGTAGCTCAAAAGATACTTTTATTATCTAAGTTTAAAATTGTCAGTAGTATGATTTCCAAAGCATAATTGTATGTGTTTTGATCTCATTTTAGGAACATGTATTGGATGATGTTTCAAAGAGATTTGATTAATTATTCAAACACTTGCTAGAATTTAGGATTAATCTTTGGCAATATATGAAGAAAAGTTTATTTCTGTTTCTCTTTTTTTGTTTAACTTCTGAAGTCTTTTTACTTTTCTTCATTTGGCAAAGGAGCCTAACTGTAATGGAAGCATTAATGTTTGTAATTTGGGCCTGTTTGAATTTGTAGCACACAAACTAAACCCCTCCAGTTGTCATTCTTTCAAGGAATGAGTGACTGGAAAATGGCAACCAGCTGGTGTTGGTTAATGTTGCCGACGGATAGATTGATCTCACTAATCAGCCTGTTTTTAGCTATGTCATGCGTATAAGAAAAATGATAAATTTACTTGGCATCTGTGACATACGTATATATGTTTTATTGTTATCCAGTTTTTGGCACTATACTCCACCTTCTCCAGGTAGGACTAATAAAGCAAACATATTAAGTAGAGAGACTAACAAACATATTCACACATACCAGCAAGCACAGAGCAATCAATTTAGTAATGAAAAATAAAATAATAGTAAAAAGATTTCTAGTAATATCAAATCCAAACTAGAGAGTTTCAGCCCAGAATATATACTTTGAAACCACCTAATGGAAGCTTGAAGTTCTATATTCTGAATCACATTTGCTTGACATCAGTCTCTTGAAGATCAACCTTTTAGCCTCAATACAAATTCTTAGCTCCCCAGAATCAAGTTTGATTAGAGGTGCCATTGATTCTGA